GAAAGCTTTTGCCAATGTATTAGGTTTTCCTATCTCACAAGACTCTGTATTGCTTTTGTGGTAACAGACTAACATGGTATGCCTCTGGCCAAATTTTCTAGTCGTTGCCTGTATTATTTCCTTAGGTCACTTTCCTTGCCATATTTACTGAAGGATTTTGTTAAACTGACAACATTTACAGAACATCCTATAACAAAGTGTTCTCTTGGACAGCTCAAAACATAAAATAAAACCAGTTAATATGCATTGATAGTGAAAATAGCAGTATGTCATTGTCATCTGCCATTATTTGGTGGCCCAGATGGGAGAGATTTATTTTTTAAAAAGTGCAACATATGCCAGTGGAAAAATAGGCAAGATATCATTATTCCACGCACTTCATCAACGCTTTAGTCTAGTTTGCAGACTCCGAATGTAAGACATCTGAATCAATTTACAATGAGTAGCTTTTCAAAATAAGAAAAGCACTAGCAGATACTGTCATGAAGTCAGCAGTAAATAAACATAGAAGCCCCAAAATCTAAAGAATGAGGTGGCCAATAAAGACATGGGTGAGGATACATTCACTTGAGTCAAGAATCTAGTTGAAAGTGGAAAAATGTATCTCCAAATGTAGTGTGATATGGAGGTCGACCTCAATGTAGAAGCCTGCATAATGTCTATGGGAAAAGCAAGAAGTATGGAAAATCAACTCGGCACTATGTATGTTTTAATTGTTTTATAAATTGTTATTTTGTATTTATTATGGTATGTATAGTGCAGCCCCCAGTAGTGCAGTGGGTTAAAGCACTGAGCTGCTGAACTTGCTGACTGAAAGGTCGCAGGTTCAAATCCGGGGAGCGGGGTGAGCTCCAGCTTCTGCCAACCTAACAGTTTGAAAACATGCAAATGTGAGATCAGTAGGTACAACTCCAGTGAGAAGGTAATGGCGCTCCTTGCAGTCATGCCGACTACATGATCTTGGAGGTGTCTACGGACAACGCCGGCTCTTCAGCTTAGAAATGGAGATGAGCATCATCCCCCAGAGTCGGACATGACTGGATTTAATGTTGGGGAAAACCTTTACCTTTACTAGAGTGCAGCACTGAATTTTTGCCATGATCCGTAAGCTGCTCTGAGTCTCCTTCAGGGTGAGAAGGGCAGGGTAGAAATATAGTAAATAAATAATAAATCCACTTATTTCTGGTTTAATTAACAAAAATTAATCACCTACATGTTTAGCCCACCAACTACTGGATGACAATACTGCCAAACTGACAACTAGCAACAAGAAGTGAGACAGATGACTCCAAAAGAGCATCAGAGAACAAGTGCAGAATGCGCAACCGGGGGGGGGGGTGGTAGTGGTGATGTGATGCAAATGAATGGAATAAAAATCCTAAGTAGAAGGGGAGGCAGATGTGAGTTGACAAGGCAGTCTGTATTTCCACTAGAAATACATTTGTATTACTAAGCTGTAGACCAGTTGTAACAGTCAAGAATGCGGCAGACTTTTTGAGTTGAAAGTAAATCTACTTAGCAAGTTATCTTTTGCTGTCTGATTAAGATGGATAGGTTGTAGCTTTTACATATGCAGTAGTTAGTTTTCATTTTCATATATGTTGACAGCTTCATAATAGCTTTCTCCTTCTCTCTCTCTCCCTTTTTTTTTGGGGGGGGGGGGAGATGGATGCTACCTTGGAAGTACATCATCACAAATACCTCAGCTGCCAAAGTTTATTTATTTATTTATTATTTATTTCTGCATTTGTTGACCGCCGCTCTCAGCCCTGGGGCGACTCGCGGCGGTGTACAACATGTAAAAACAGTTACAAAAAGCATACAATACATCGACATAACCATAATTACCTATTAATCTAAATTACATTAACTAATCCGCATCGTCATAACATAGAATCATAGCCAATCTCATAATCCGTATTCCGTTCCAGTTGTCATTACCCGTTAATGTAGCACTCAGTTAAATGCCTTCTCGAATAGCCAGGTCTTTAGGCTCTTACGGAAAGCCATAAGGGAGGGCGCCTGTCTGATGTCAACAGGGAGGGTGTTCCACAGCCGGGGGGCCACCACCGAGAAGGCCCTCTCTCTCGTCCCCGCCAGACGTGCCTGAGAGGCAGGCGGGATCGAGAGAAGGGCCTCCCCAGATGATCTCAAGGCCCTCGTGGGCTCATAGGCCGAGATGCGGTCCGAAAGGTATTTTGGGCCGGAACCGTTTAGGGCTTTGTAGGATAACACCAGCACCTTAAATTGGGCCCGGTAGCAATCGGCAGCCAGTGGAGCTGGGACAACAAGGGCGTTGTATGCTCCCTGCATCCCGCTCCCGTTAGTAACATGGCTGCCGCGCGCTGGACTAGCTGAAGCTTCCGGGCCGTCTTCAAGGGCAGCCCCACGTAGAGAGCGTTGCAGTAGTCAAGGCGGGATGTGACCAGAGCGTGTACCACCGTGGCCAAGTCAGACTTCCCAAGGTACGGGCGCAGCTGGCGCACCAGCCTAAGCTGTGCAAATGCTCCCCTGGTCACCCCTGAAACCTGGGGATCCAGGCTCAAGATGAATCCAGGGTCACACCCAAGCTGCGAACCTGCGCCTTCAAGGGGAGTGCGACCCCGTCCAGCACAGGCTGTAACCCTACACCCTGTTCGGCCTTGCGACTGACCAGGAGTACCTCTGTCTTGTCTGGATTTAATTTCAGTTTGTTCGACAGTTGACAGTAAATGGTGAACTCACAGCAGGCAGCAATGGCTGGGCATCTTCATTCCTCCACTACCACACATACGTACCTTTTTTGCATAAAGCATATATCACTCCTGTGTGCTGCAGGAAATAAACAACAAAGCGACAGTATGGTTTGTTGGCATGCAGGAAAAATGGTTCAGGAGCACCCTCATCCGGGGAGAAGTTGGTACTACAGTTAAACAATTCATGTATTCAGGAAGTCCACGAATTACAAACATCTGTCTTATTATCAACTCATAGTAACAAGTTGGTCTGTGAGATAAATCTACCCCTAAGAAGGGAGGGAGATAAATCTACCCCTAAAAAGGGAAATTCACTCCTGGAAGTTATTATGGGGAAAAGGTCCCTCAACTGAAGCTTTATCACCAATCCTTGTTTCCAAAACAAGCCAATGTTTTCAAAATCAAATTATCACAGGGACAGAAAGTGAGGTGAAATATTCTGAACAGGGACACAAAACAAACACCACAGGGGTGTTAACACTTCCCTATGCTATCCAAAGCATGTGTGTGTGTGTGTGTGTGTGTGTGTGAGAGAGAGAGAGAGAGAGAGACTGGAGTTACACTTAACAATGTACCTGTTCTGACTTACATACAAACTCAACTTAAGAACAACCTACAGAACCTATCTTGTTTGTAACTTGGGGACTACCTGTATATCCTCCAATGCTGATCAGGATGACATGGAAGAGGTCTCTGAATTCCAGCAGAACAAGCAAGATTTCTAATCCTGATCATTTAACACAGTGGTTCCCAACCTGTGGTCCGTGGACCACCAATGGTCCATAAGAACTAAAATATGGTCCGTAGCCTCACAGTTACTGCACCGTTGCAACGAGAGCAACTGGTCTCGTGAAACCCTCTTGTAGTGCCAAGGCTTATTAAATATGCTTTTCTGTGGACAAGCAGATACTGACTACTGAATGACATACACCCTGTTTCAGAAACTACAGCTGATGTGGTCTATCCAAGGCAGTTTTCTGAATCAGCACCCCAAATAACCAAACTGAATCTAAAATTGACGCCAAAAACTGATTCACAATCCTTTTGGTCAAAGTGGTCCCTGGTCAAAAAAGGTTTGGAACCACTGATTTAACAACATCAACAATTAAAAACCAAACTGTTGGGAGGAGGGGAGGTACAGGGCAACATTGGTGTGAAACACTTAAGAGCTCGGTTTGGCTATGAAACAATTTTGTGGGTGAAATGTACTCGGGGAACTCCTTGCTCTTTATTTCCCAAGACTGCTATCCAAGGTCCATCTATACTAACTTCAACTAGCTATATGCAGCCCAACAGTGTTTTCTCAGAGATTTATTTCCAAACCAAACATGGCAAGTGTGCAGCACGAACTTTTGTGAAAAAGAAAATGACCTTCACAAGGCGGAAATCTGTCTATCCTTGCCATAAGCTATACATCTTCTAAAGCAGTGGTTCCCAACCTTTTTTTTAACCAGGGACCACTCTCCAACATTAGTACCAAAAGGGCTACGAATGAGTTTTTGGTCAACTTTAGATTTGGTCTGATTATTTGGGGTGCTGATTGAGAAAATTGCGTTGGATAGATCACATCATCTCTAGTTTCTGATACAGAACATATACAGAACCTATGTGAAGTTTTGCAGGAAATACAGAACATATGACATCTGCTTGTCTACAGAAACCCATATTTCATAATCAAGAGCTGATGTGGTAGTAGTAACTTTTGTGGGTAGTCAGCCTCTCCTCTCATGACATCCCTGTTGCCTTGGCACTATCAGAGGGTTTTGCGAGACCAGTCGCTCTCGTTGCCGCAGAGTTTCGAGGCAACAGTGTAGTAATGGTGAAGGCATGGACCATATTTTTGTTCTTGCAGACCACTGGTGGTCCACAGACTACAGGTTGGGAACCATAAATTCCTATTAACTGCTAGTGAAGGATCTCTTCATCTGAAAGTGCTCTTTGTGTCAAAAGCAGGGGGATTTCTTTTTTTACTGGTCAAGTTTCTTTTCTTCTCAGTATGGCATCTTTGCTGGATGCTTTAGAACATTGGTTTTCCCCACCCACTCCTTCATGGGTTTTCTGCAGTAAGGAAAAAAGCAAGTAATAGAAAAACATTAATTGATAAAACAGGGGAAGGTTGCCCTTGTCCATGTCCATTCCCCCATCATCTGACATTCCTTCTCCCCTTTCGTAAAATTATGTAAATAAATGAGGCAAATGACGCAATAAAGCCAAATTGGGCAAAGATTATCCTAGGCCAGTACACAATAAACAGCACAACAATCATTTGGTAGGGGGTTGTTTTATTGGATGCACCAGATCAACAGAATCCCAAATGATCCAATCAGTTCCCCTTAGCAGCAGAGTCCAGGGGATTGGCAAAAGAATCCCATCCAAGAAAGAGTGCAAGGAAATAGTAGAGTCAACGAAGACACACATTTAAACCACGGCCCTTCCCTGCTATGTGCCAAAGTCCTCTCAACAGTGTCATCAGCCAACCCATGAAGCACGGGTGCCCTGCAAAACCAAGAGGAAACTCATGGAAAAAAGGCAGGGCCAAGTCTGGCCAAGGCTCAAACTGGGTTCAGCTCAGACGGAAGGACTAAAATAGTTTCTATGGGCTAATGTTTCAGGTGAAGACATAAAAAGGTATTGCATACAAGGGTTGCATATTTGCCACGTCAAAAAAATGGCTGTCCACAGTCCATTTCTGAAGCCCAGAGTTAGAGAAACGTGTAATTAAGTTGTTTGTCCCTTCTAATATACAAAGTCCTATATGTTCGGAGCAAGGTTAATATTTTCCTTTAAAAAGCAAGTCAACCTATTTCTAGTAGCTCTCTCTTATTGGGCCTGAGTAGTTGGACCCATGTTAGGACCTGTCTGGACACACTATTTTCCATTTTGTGTGTGCATAGCTGTAGACCCAAAAAAGCAGAGAGGACTGTTGTGGAAAATGTTCTACAGCAGCATCTTGTCCCATTAGTAATCCTTCGGCTTGTACCCCTGACCCCACAAGAATGAGGCAAGAGACCATCTGAATATGATACACATAAGCTGCCAAAATGAATTTCTAAACATGGGACTAGGGAACCCAACCTTATAACCTCCTTAATCCAATCCACTGTTAGAAAGCAGACCTGAGCAGATGGGGAGAAATGCACAGAAAATTCAAGTAAATGCTTGCAGGGAGGACAAAAGTGTAGGGGCTGCTCCAGGCAGCAGAAGCAGGACTCTAGTTTCCATGTGCTTCTTAGTGTTCAGCCATATGGCCCATGCCTCATCCTGTAGCAACCCACCCAGATCCAGAGCTGTTTATATCATTTGACCCTTGTATCTCTGACCTGCAGATGTAACAGTCCTCTGGCTCCATAGGCTTTGCAGTGGGATGGAAGGAGTCCCCCAAAAGTCCTGTATAAATACTTATTTACATAGCTGCCCACAACTCCATTCCCTGCCCAAACTAGGAAGGGAAAGCTATGGAAGGACACAGGGCAGCCATTACTACTGGTAGTAATGGCTGTACACACACACAGCTGGTTGATGGCACAGCAGCACCTTATGGTCATGGGCAGACGAAGGCTTTAGTCCTCTGGAGTGTGCTGTGAGCCTGTGGAAGAGTCTCTGTTTTGGTGTCACCAATTAGCTTTCACAGCATTAATGTCACTCACTAGATTTTGCGCCAGGCAGATCCCAAAGATCTGAAATACAAAGGAGATAATGCATATAAAAGAGAGAATAGGGACACAATACTTGTACATACAGTATTGTAATTCTTACACCATCAGTACCCCACTGATGGTGTAAGAATTACAATACTGTATGTATTGTAATTCACTTTCATTACACAGCCCTCAATACTATCAATGTCATCATTACCATTCCTGATAGGAGCAAGGGAGTAATTTTGGACCCTTTGTCCTTCCAATAAAATGACCATTGGAAGTAAGACGTGGGTGCTGGGATGGAAGCAGTGTGGAGAGAGCACAAGATCCCCCTTTGCTCTCTCTGAAAACCATTTTAGAAGGCAGTTACAATTGGGAGCATTGAACCATATCAGAGAGTTTTGGTGGCCCGAAATAGAAAATCAATGCAGCATAACTCCCTTTTCTCTAATTATTATAGGGTACAATGCCTTAGGAGTTCATTCTGTCCATGAATCATACTCAAAAGTGTATTCCTTTCAAGGGGAACATGGGCTTCCCCGTGGCTCCGCACTCCAATACTTAAAATGGAAAGAAAGCACCTTATATTTCCTTTCAGCATGTTGGGCTGATATTGCAATAACCGTGAGGATATAGAAAGCTGTAGAGGAGTTTCAGACAATACATAGTTATCAATCCATCTGGTCCCACAGGGATCTCATACCTTTCAGAGATTTTTGTGGGCAATTCTAATACAAAGGAGGATACGGTTCTAACGCAATCTGGAACCATTTATTTCATCTGCCCTTTTAATTATAAAATTCATTTTAACTTGTTGGTGGTGATGTGCACCCTCAGTCTGCTTCAAATTTATGAAAACCCTCAAGTGAACATATCATAAGGTTTTCTTGGCAAGATTTGTTCACGGGGAGTTTGTCCTTGCTCTCCTGTAATGCAGTCATAGAACCATAGAATCATAAAGTTGGAAGAGACAACATGGGCCATCCAGTCCAACCCCCTGTCATGCAAGAAAAGCACAATCAAAACACCCCTGACAGATAGCTATTTATCCTCTGTTTAAAAGCCTCTAAAGAGGGACGCTCCACCACACTCTGAGGCAGAGAGTTCCACTGCTGAACAGCTCTTACAATCAGGAAGTTTTTTCCTAATGTTCAAGTGGAATCTCCTTTCCTGTAATTTGAATCCACTGCTCTGGGTCTTAGTCTTCAAGGTGCAAGCAGAAAACAAGTCTGCAAGGTTAGCAAGTGTGTTTCCATGGCCAAGGAGGAATTCAGACACTGTTATCCAGAGCTGTAATCCAATGCTCAAAGCACTACAACATGTAGACTTTCTCATTTAAGTACTGTTCTTTTTAAAAACTCCTGGCAAAGAATCAATCTGGGTCAATACACTAGTTTTATTTTGGAATAAAACAAATATTTTATTTAATCATCTTGAGAGATGCTCTGATTTTGTCTGGAGATCCAATATAACTAAATCCTACCCACTGAAAGGTAGGTAATCACTTCCTTTAGCTGGACAATGTATTTGTGAGCAGATCCACAGCATTTTTGGATCCTTTATCAACATTACCCTGTCACGGGAAGCATCCTGCAAGGAAGAGAAGTCCAATATGTCTTGTTCTGGGACCAATTTCTTGTATGGATCACAAACCAAACACACAGACACTGATACTTAAGTAAGCCACTGATAAGGTATATGCTAAACAAAAAGAGAAACAGTCTTCGCCTTGATACTCAAAGGTTTTGTATGATATATTTGATGTGAACTTTAGATTTCACTTCAAGAAAAATGCAGCACCATAGTGGTGGAAAAGGCAATCTTATCCCTTCAACCAAAATTGAGGCTCTTGCTTTTCCTTGTGAATGGATAGCTCCCAAATTTATTCACATGGCTGGTAAGATGTCCCTATTCATTTCTTGCTCTACAGAATAATACACTGACAAAAAGAGAAAAGCCACCCAAAAGCCCATAAACACATACACATTTTTCTGGTCCTTTCCAGAGCTCAGGCAAACCTCATACATTCAAATGAGCAATCATAACATTCAAAATTATTTTTAGCTGTTATTTGTTCCATCTGTGTTGTAAGTTACCTTGAAGCAAATAGAATGAATGCAGCCAATGCCGACTACTCCACTTTCTGCCTTATAATGTTTTAGGGAGAAGGAAAAGATTCTTGAGATGAGACAACATGGCCCATTTGGCCAAGTCATGGGGATAGTGCCATTTTTAAAATTTCTACTTTTTAAAAACTACAACTCCTGACTACATCAGGATCACAGATTTTGAAAACTGTGTTTTTCAAACACAAATGGCAAGGGGAAGGGTGACACAGTGAAGGCCTCCTTGATCTGTGCAGTTGTCCCCATGATACTTTCCTCGTTTAAGATTAACCCAAGTATGGATGGTGCAGAGATTTGCCAAAGTTCAGAGAAAAGAATTCAGATGTCTTTGTGCAGGCTCCTCCTGTGCTGGAACTCAGGGCAACCATGTATAAAGCTTTCCATCTCAGGAATCCATGTCATGGTAAAAACAATAACAACAGCAGCTCAGAAACACAGGACCATATACCTGGAGCAATGCAACACCCACAAAGGTCCCGGCCACCACAATGAGATTGTCCTGGACCCATTTCTCAAATTGACCAGCACATCCTTTGGTATGGATAAAGCTCTGCTGCTCCAGCTCCTGTAGAAAGGCAAAAGTGTGCATGGGAATTGGCATAGACATATGATGCACTTTCTCTCATCCCTTAGTGAAGGTCAACCACATTGGTTGCCCTTCTGAGTTCTCCCCTCAGATACACATTACTCCATTTACCTATCTCACCCAGGGTTTTATCAATTTTATCCTGTGCATTTGGCCCGCCCACTGTGTTTTTATTCTTCCACTATTTTATTTTGTGTTTGTTTACTGTGTATTTGCATTGTTTGCATTTTACTTTGTTCCTAATATTTGCTGTTGTATTTTACTTTGCTGTATGGTAATCCTTGGACTTGGACTTATATTAGCTGCCCCGAGTCTCTTTGGGGAGAAGGTGGTGAGGTATAAATAAAGTATATTATTATTATATAGGCAGAAAGGAAAGGTCATCCCTGACTCACACAAGAGAAAACTGCTTTGGCTCCAACACAGTGAGACTAGGCAGCTCCTTCCATGTTTCCTGGAGTCAGCAACCCAAGTATTTATCTATTCCCTGGTCTTAGCACAGTGCAATCATCTGGATCCAGTGCTATGATTTCCAGTTGATAGCATGCCTTACTTTGCTTCCCTTTGCCCTTAATTTGCTCTGAGCCTAGCTCTGTCTCATCCCAGCCAGTCATTTCAGAAAGGACACCCACCTGGCTCCAGCCACCACACCAACCTGACTCTCACCAGTTTAAGGCGAACATCGTAGCCACACTGTGTGTTGAGAACATCTTCCTGGAGGAGGAAAAAAAGGAGGCACAAAGCTAACCAAATTTGCTCTTAAATTCCCTCAAACAACTTTTCCCAGAAAGGGATTCATTGCTTCTCCCTCAAATCTCTCTAGCATTTCCTCTGCCCTTCACACCCTATCAAACAGCTCCAACATCTACTTCCAACTGTGGTGCAGACAATGACACCATATCCAGTGGGTGCAATTACAGGAAGTCCCTGGGTTATGAACAAGATAGTTCTTATAGGTTGGTTCTTAAGTTGAATTTGTATGCAAGTCAAGAAAGTACATTTTTAAGTGTAACTCCAATCATATAGATAGAATAGAGAACATATACAGGGTGAGGCAGCATAACTTCCTTTATTAAAATGTGCACCATTCAGACATAGCGGAGCGCTAGTGGTCTCGTTCGAGAGATGGGAGTATAAAGTCTTGTCCTGACACAGTTCAGTTGCCATCATGCGTTGGAACAGTGAGGAGCGTGCTTTTGCCATTGAGGCCTACTTTTCGAGCGGATTTGGAGTGGCTGGCCTGATCTCCAGATTTGGCCCCTTGTGATTTTTTTTAATGGGGTTTTTTGAAATCCCGTGTTTATGTGAACCGTTCAAGGACCCTGCAAGATTTGAAGACCAACATCCAGGAAGAAATTGCCAACATAACGCCTGCTATGCTGGCAAGAGTCATGACAAATGCCAGAAATCAGTTTATTCAGTGTATGGAGAATGGAGAATGGAGAATGGAGAATGGGGGACGTCACCTAACTAATTTGATCTTCAAAACTACTTAAAACAAAACTTTAGGTATGCGCCTACATTATAAAAAAAAATTCTGATTCGTACAATGGGTTTTAAGTTTTGAAAAAAGGAAGTTATGCTGCCTCACCCTGTAGATAGAATAGAGAAGGGTTAACACCCCTTTCATGTTTGTTTTGCTGTCTATGCCGCTGTTCAGAAGACTTCGTTTCACGTTCAGTCCCTGTAACAACTGGATTTTGAAAATGTTGGGTTTTTGTGAAGACAAGGATTGGTGAAGAAGCTTCAGGGGAGACAGCTTTTTTCCCCATAACTCCTACAAGAGTAAATTCCACTTCCTAGGGATACATTTTCTCTCACATCCTGTTGTCTCACCCCCATTTGTAACTAGGAGTCATATGTAAGTCAAAAGTTTGCAACTCGAGGACTGGCTGTACATCAATCCATGACCAGTGATTTCGCTCTCTCTTTAATCTGGACTAGACTAAAAGTAGTCAACCTGGTGCCCCTCATATATTATTGAGCTAGAACCCTCCTTCATCCCAGAAGGAAGTTCAGATTATAAGAGTCACAGTCCTAAACATCTGGAAGGCACTCAATTCCCTGGTCCCACCCTAGAGAGTCAATTGGACCTTTTAGTGATTTCTGCATTACATCTGAACTTGGCGTGCTCTCCATACATTCTCTAGGTCTACAGGGGACAAGCAACAAAGAATCTTCCATCACCGTCACTCTGCCACTGGCTGTTCCTGAGGTTATTTATGGCTGATTACTCATCCTTCTTGTCTCGGCTTCTTACCGCAGGATCCTTGACACAGCAGGAAAAGGGCACCCCACAGCGTTCTCTGCTGGGGTTGGAGTCAGTGCAGTTGAAGTAAATGTTGAGATTCCAGTCATTAGGCCCGTGCGCTCCACAGCAAGACCACTACAATCATAGGGTACAGCATCAGACTGGGACAAATATGAAGAAAACAATCACACATTCATGGCACTAATGCGTGATATGGCTAAGGTCAAATCTAGCAGAACTGTTCCTGAGAATAGGACCCTTGGCAGGATATGGGATGAGTCATTTAAGCGACATTTCCATGATAGTATGGTTGCATAAATCCCCCCTTGCATGGCAGCTGCTGAAATAATTTCTGCAATGTTGCACCTTTGTCATCAGCCACCAGATGGCAAGGTGAATTTCAGTTTGAGACCAGAACAAGGGCCATTCGAATCCCACAGGGAGCAAGAGGCGGTTTATTGCCAGCTGGATACTCTGGAATATTTCTTTATTGTTATTCAATTTTATGGGGCATCTACATTATATTGGCATCAAATTGCCATTTCCCTGATTTTTTACAATTGTCTATCTGTTTCTATTCAAAGGAGCAGAGAATTCAACATTTTCAGAAATAATTCATAAATATTGGAAAACAATGGGGGTTAATTTCAGCGGAGCAAAGCGTTCAGACAATAACATTTGACCCTCAAATGTTCTCTGAACTTGCCAGGCTTAATACTGTTGGATTTACAGCAATGCATTATCTGTAAGCTCAATTTCTGCCACAAAATACAATAAAATTCAAGTGGTCAACTGAAACAGGGAAGACCTTCAACAGGTTCATCCAGTCATACCCTATTGCAAACTATGTCAGACAAAGTAGATACCAAAGCCAGAGAGGATATTTTGGCTTATGATAAGGTCATACAGGATCTGTACTCTTCTCTTCAGATTGATATTAACACAAACTGTCATACCCCAGCTAATGTATTGGAGTATTGCAACCATGCTGTTTTCAATTACCCTTAAACATTTGAATCTAAAACATCTATGTTCACCTATAGATGTCCCAGATTGGCCTATGGATGTCATATTAGGTTAAATTAGGTCTGACAAAGCTACAATATATGATGGCATTTCTCTAGAGGTGTCAAAACATAGCATTAGTTGGTGAGCACCTATGTTGGCTTCTCTATTTTCTCTAATCAACAATATAATCTAGTATATTCCCTGCAACTTGGTCCTAAAGATTATCCCTATAATGCCAACCCATTCATTTCTTATCTGTTATCAGAAACATATATACCAGTTATCTAAGGCTTAATTAAAAGTAAGGACTAATGATAACATTCTGGAGGAAAAGGAGATTGGTTTTTTAAAAAGCTTGTTCCATGCCTCATTATTGCCTAGTTTCGTCCCATCTTGCACTTAAATACACTGCGCCAAAGGAAGACAATGTTTTTTTTCCTGCATTTATTGATTTCAAATTGGTGCTTGGTTTGATTCCATATGACCTTCTCTAGAGTATATTGGAACAGATTTCCACTGACAGGCAACCGTTATTTCAAATCAGTTCCTGTACTATAATACAACAGTTTAAGTTAGCTGTACTAGTCAAGGAATCCCACAAATTGCCCTGACTCGGGGCTTAAGACAGGGATGTATTCTTGCCCCTACCTAATTTAATTTATATTCGGTTAACCTTCCTTAGACCTTGGCATCTTGCCACCCACCCACCAAAGACTGGCTCTATTAAAATGTCCATCCTTCTTTGAGGTGATGACAAGGTACTGATTTCCCAGATTCAGTTGGGTCTTGGGAGATTGAGAGGCTTCTATGAGTACTGCATCAATAATCTCCTAACAATTAATTACTCAAGAACAAAAGTTTTGTTAAGAGGAAGATTAGGTTCTCACAGTCCATAGAAGAGAATAAAACTGAACAGGTGGACTACTATAAATATCTGCGTTTATGGCTTCACGAAGCTATAAAGTGAAGGAACAAGAATAAATACGTTAAATCTAAAGCGGAACAAAATGTACAAGCAATAACCTACTTCTTTTTCTCTGGAGGTGGTAAATTTCTCCCAGCAGCTCTCTGCTAAAATTGTCCCAACAATACTTGTTGGTACCACAATTTGGTTTCCTCTCACTAAGAGCTCATTTGAAAGAATCCAGTCTTTTTTTCTTATATTAATATGTGTCACAGGACCTGTTCTTTACCTGGAGTATGACTTAAATGCCTTTATATTCCTGATATGAATTTACTCTGTTCATTTTTGGCTCCACTGAAGCCTAATCCTTAATCTCAACTCCCTGCTGTCCAAGGCAATGTCTGAATCTTTTAAATCACAGCAGTTGAGTGTAAAATCGTCTTGATGGGCTTATCTTCCTCCTTGTTTTTACTCATGGACCTAGATGGCACCGAAGTAACAGTTAAACAGAGGTTAATGGACACTGATTGCCCAACACTATAAGGAACTAGAAGAGGACCCTGCTGCTCTCTGTCACTGGGTTTACCACTCTAGAAGGTTGACTAACTACTCCAAAATAAAGAAAGACTTTCTCCTTGCAAGGCTTTAATGTTTTCCTCTCAAATCTATTAACTGACAGGTTTAATAAAACACTACTGAACAAGAGACGCTGTTTGAAACCACATCCCACATACTATAGTTTTTATTGGGGGGTCGGGGGAACGGTAAGGGATGATTGATTGTGTTCCATCATGCAATGTTTCTCTGATCAGTGCCCTGAACCTCTTGTGGTTATCCCAGATATATGACAACCTTGGGATCTGTGCAATGTCTAATTATCTAATATGTTTTAGGTGTATGTCTGAAGATGTATAGTTTTAATGTGTAATTTTTAGTTATATGTCACTGTTTTAAATTTGTGATGTACCATTTTATTATAGCTGAGGTATTGAATTTTTGCCATCTATTTGAGTGCCCCCAGGGATGAGAAAAGTAGTATAAAAGTGCAATAAATAGTTAAATTAATTAATAAAATTTTGGATTCTGACAAATTATCCAGTCTTTAAATGGCAACATTTCTAAATATCAATTTCTTTAACCACCCTATCCTTGTTGATATCATATTACTTTATTTAATGTAATGCCTACGGCCCATCCACTCTGAACTTTATTTAATATTATATTTTCATAATTACCTATTTGATCTCATTGTAATTTATACTGCTAATCTGAATATTCACTGGCACTTTACTAAAATGTACTTAGCATGTTGTTCTACTGGTCTGCTGAAAGTAATGTATGTGTAGGTATATGGGAGAAAATTACATAATTGCTGCAACTGTTGCTCAGTTCAACACTACGCACCCCTCCACTCCTTAAAAAATAAAAATGGGGTTCTTCTAGTAGGGCAACCGCTTTGTTGCTGTAAGATTTATGCAAAGGTAGGGTAAAGCATTTTTGTGTGGCTAGATCCTAATAAGTTCGTATGTACTAATATACTCATGAAAAAGCAAATTCTGAGCCCACCATTAAAAAAAAATTGTTTAGATTGTAGAACTAATAACATTGTCCCTTTATTATTTTAACAGGTTTTTTAAAGTTATAAAATGTATAGATTAAAAGATCAGCAAGCAAATGTCACCAGTGCTAAAATAATGCAGACTAGAAAAGCGGTACTGTGGGGGTGGAGGTGTTTTTAAATCAGTACTATAAAATTGGCATTGAAATGTTTTGTTTTCAGTGAAATTGTATTGTGTAAACATTTGAGTGATGTTTTCCCCAAGGAAATGCAGTCAATTTTTCAGTGAAAATTAAATGATTAAATGAAACATAGATACACTTGTTGCTAAAATGCTGCTTAAACAAAAGGTAATGTCCATGATTTACTGTTCTCATTTTTCTTCAGTGTGAAATGAAATAGAAAAAAATCCCATAGGGAAACAGTAATTTCATGACAACTGACTGTAGATGTACTCTAATATATGATTGGACACAGTGTGGCTACTCCATGATACTTGAGCAAAACGAGCATTTCTGATGCTTTATATTTAGGTTTTATATAATTTTTAGTAAATTACATTTAATTTAATTTATAGCTGTCATGTTATAAGTTGTTGCCATAAGTAGGGTTATTTTGGGCTGTTATGTTTGTATTTGTTGTTGCACTGAGGCATTGAATGTTTGCCTTTTCTGTGTGTTGGAATCTGCCCTGAGTCCCCTAGTTTATTATTATTATTATTTTGATGAAACTGTGATAGGTTATCCAGATGAACATACTGACAATAATGTACTTTGATACACCTTTTCCACAGGCACCATCTTTTCAGTGTGTTCAGTTTTTAATTTCACTTTCTAATTTGTTCTAAAAATAACACCTTCGTGCCATTTTTTTCAATGTTCACACAGTAAACTTTAAATGGAAAAACATTTCAGCACAATTTTAAATACTGATTAATGGGGAAAAACATGCTGTCTTACCAGCTGACACGATATTAGCACAATGTTGTTTATTTTTAATCTTTTGCTGATGTTTTAATTAACACTAAAACACTTTTTGTCAACCTTAAAAAAGCACCACTATTGAAATAATCACACAACAGCACCTAATTATTATTATTTTTTACACAAAGTACTTTCTCTCTAATTTTAAACAGTAAATTAAAAGACAGATGGAAAGAAGAGTGCACTCAGGTAAACTTTCCTTCCCTGCCTAAACGGCCGTGTCATACCTTCAGGTGAATTGAACATAAAACTTAGTCCTTAGATTGTCTAGACCTTATCTACTTTTACAAAGTATGAACCAAGATGCCATCACCTGTGTGAATCTCGTTCGTGTGACGGTCATTCCAATAGTCCTAACTTAGTTCTAGTTCTCTTTTGGGTTACTTCCAGGCTAATGGCTTCTCTTGCTCCCCAAACCTTACTTTTCTGGAATTGTAGCTTACTCTGTACACTATTGGGATGAAGTGTCTCTTTGGGGCATATAAAGCCATTATGTCCCTGGGACTTACCATGGGCCCCACCCAGGCCCGTAGCCAGGATTTTGGTTCGGGGGGGGGGCTGAGTTTGATTCGGGGGGGGGGGGGGGCTGAGTCTGAGCGAAAGAAGGTCTACCCTAGCAAACCTTTTGTATTGTTAACCCAATACCCCCATGCATATGGGATATATTGAGTATGGTGATCAGATCATGATATGAATAAACATAACAGTTTAAATAATGCACCAGTAAGGCCTTCTCGCGGACCATCATGAGAATTTCGGGGGGGGGGCTGAAGCCCCCCAAGCCCCCCCCCACCCGGCTACATGCCTGGCTCCACCAGATATCACCCTTTAAAAAAGAATTGATTAGAAATTGATTTCTAATTTCTCAAAACCAATAGAAGGATACATGACTGGGGGAACAGCTGTCTGTAGTGGGTAACGTGTGGCCAAATACAAGGAAGGCTTGGATAATGTCTCTTCCTAAATGTTTACAGTACATGAGAAAAATACACATCCCTGTAGATGCCAGCCACAGATACAGGCAAAATGTCAGGAGAAAATGCTGCTAGAACACAGCCATACGGCCCAGAAACCACACAACATTCCAATGCACATCCCTAGTGATCTGCCCGCTAATGCAAAATAAATATTCCCTGAATGGGTTGAAATCTACAAAGTGGATCTTAAATTACTGTGTAATGTTGACATGAGTCTCCTTTCACTAATACTGCAGGTTAGGCTGGAGCTTCAGAAATAAGTTTTGAATTCAGACACTCAATAAGACCAAGCAACAGATGGCTCAACTTGGCTTCCAAAGCATCACATGAAAAGCAAGACTTTTCCATAGAACGCCCTGAGCTAAAAACCCCACCACAACAAAGAGCAGGCATGACACTCACATATTCCTGAGCAAAGTCTATGAGGTTCTGGAGGTCGATGTCATCACGGTAGGCCTTGACATTATTGTTGATGAAGAAATTGAGCTGGTCCTTGATCCAGTCCTTAAAGATGAAGGCCAGAATACCTGCCGTCAGCTCCAGGAAAAAGATGAGCCCCAGAAACACAGAGAACTGGAGTGTGGTGAGGGATCAAAACAGAGACAGGTTGTCAATCAACTGCAAGGCCAATGAAATCTGGACATCCAAGAGCAGTGCAAGTCCCTTCTAAGAACCCATCTGTTCAACCTAATCACAACTCTCAGGGATCTACTGCTCATGTGGAATTAAGTTGCTGTACAAATTTTGTAGAAGGGGAAAATCATTCTTAATAAATATGTCACTGGGGAGCCTCCAAATTCTTATGTTATCTACATTCATCCTTCAATATTGCTGCAGTGCATTTCCTATCACCATTACACAGAAATGTACCTTCCTCTACAATAGAAGGAAATTAAGTTAACACCATATTCCTGCCTCCAACCCCAATTTCCCAGGAAGGTTCAGAGAGGGGGAAATCCAGCAGCAGTGTCAGGAACACAATATGAGGATTGCAATGTCAAATCCTATCTTTTTCTTCATTCTATACCTCTATATCAAACTCCCATCACATTAAGGCACATTGGCTGCCTATGAAACACTTCTGTTTGAAGCAACAGATCCAATTATTTTTCTACAGCTTGTGCCGATCATTCCTACAGTGCCAAAAAGAAATCCAGTTGCTGTTAGTGTTCTTTGAGAAGCAATGCCTGGGCACAGCTCCACTTAAGCCTAAGAAGGGGAATACGTGACCTTCCAGATGCTGCTGATTTGCAACTCCCATCAGTCCTAGATATCATAGTCAATGAGAAGGGATCATCTAGAGTGCCACAAGTGATTCAGCACTGCCCTAGCCTCTTGTCTGTATTTCTAAGGTCCAATGAAGCTGGATTAGAAATAAGATGATTACTAAGTAAAACTAAGATGTGTTTTCTAAGCACTGCAAGCATCCTGCATACATGAGCTCAGCAATCCTATAAGGTAGGCCAATCATTCTCTTCTCTGTATTACAAAGTATGTAGGTTGAAGCTGTATATGAGAGTGTCACTTAGGGCAAGCCAGTGAATTCATGTTTATGCTGAAATATGGATCAGCAATGTTGAACTCTAGAATTGCTATATAAATCTTTCCCAACCATACAGGCTAAGGATGTTGAAGTTTTAGACCAACATACTTAGAAAGCACCAGGCCGGGAAAGGCTGTGACTTTTTATTTATTTATTTATTTTGCCTTCAAGTCATTTCTAACATATGACAACCCTATCATGGGGATTCCTTGGCAAGATTTGTTCAAAGGGATTTTGAGGTGGACTGAGTGGGACTTGCCCAATGCCACCCACTGAGTTTCCACGTAAGGTGAGCCCTCCCCTCCAGAATCTTAGTCTAACACTCAAACCATTACACCATGCTGGTTCAAGGCTGTGCTACACCATTCAGAAAAGAAGGCAGCAGAAACAAATGACTTACAAATTTGAGCAGGAATGTATTCTCTCTCAAGGCTCCAATGCAGCCAGCAAATCCCAGGACAAACATCACCACTCCGACCACGAGGAAGAGCCAGACAGGATCAAAGCCTCCCAGGTCTGTGATGGAGGACAGATTGGAGAGCACCCCCTGGGCAGACACCAAGAAACATGAGTCTCAGGGAGAAGGACTGAACCTGACCACACAGCCAAGGATCCTTCCAGCGAGAATCAGGTTCAAATCTGGCATTGCATTTCTGGTATCCCAACAGTTATTACAGCAACCACCTCAAATGTTACAACAACCACCTGGGCATTAGTTCTGCCCAGCAGAGGACGTTTAACTGGTTGGAGTAGTTTTAAAATATTTTAAAAACATTTAAAAATAACACTTTAATGCAGATTGCATTTAGTGCTTTTTAATTTTTGTATTTCGAACTGATGTAGCTACACTGTTTTAATGTATGGTGTAAGCTGTTTTAGGTGCCATGTGGGAGAAAAACAGGATATAAATTAAATGAATAATAACAACAAATAAAGTGTATATAAACAATGAGAGAGCAAAGACAGAAAGCAGAGGGGTTGAAATTTATATAAAAAATATTGGACGACTCCAAACTCTATGGCCCTAGGTGGCAACAGTTTGTGGAGAGCTGGAGGGTCCTGGAAACTAGAGCAGTAGCATCTCACTCCCTACTCTAGAAAGAGAAAGGCTTTTCCCATAAGAAAATAATGTATTAAGCTGTTAGAGCAGCATAGTGCTCCTAATTGTGTGCATATATGGGCAGAAGAAAGAGGATGTCTGTGTAAATAAGTAACATAATGTGTAATGAAAGAATTCTATATTCAGGACAAAAGCAGGCATCACTGCAAAACCTGGCACTTTTTCACATGACTACTTCAAGCAGGCTGGATCCATTGATGATTTCCCAGCAGTGGATGGCTTGAAGCTGACTTAGCACAGCATTTCATGCAAAGTCACACACAAATCCCACTTGTGGTTCTTTTGCTCTGATGGATGGCTCACCTCAAAAAACTTCCAAGTGTCTCTGGATACCAGAGTCATCATAATTTGCATGTGCATCTACTTTATAGCTGATAATGACTTAAGATCAGGAAATTAAATTCAAAGAAGGAAGACATGAAGTTTCTCCCTTATGTGATTGTGTTATTTTTTTAACAACAGTTAGTGATGAAATGGGAAGGAGGGATTAATTTTTTGCCCCTGCCCCAGTCCCAAGCAGAATCCTCCACTGTACTCTCACAATGGGAGGAAAGCTACATCGCAAATGATCTAAGTAGAAATGTATTTCCATGTATATGTTTCAGAATAATATACAAGTCTACAGATATTGTTTTAGTGAGGGGTTGGAAAGATAAAACAAAATGGACAACGGCTAATTGGTATAAGTATATAGTTACGAGTGGAAATAACAACTCCAGCAAAGGATCACCGCCTTGTTGTGGCGCTGGAGCTTGAGCACCTCAATGATGTCATGAGCAAAACCGTGAAACTGTAAATAGAACAATATAGATAAAATTGAAAAGGTTACAAAAACTAAGAGGATGTGAGAACTAGTTAGGAATTATTTAGGGAATGTGCTAAAATGTGGAGCGGAAAAATTAAGACTGAGATTGATATTTCAAATGTAACTTATGTAGTTTGCTGTGTAAATTGCATGTACAAGGAGGGGAGGTTGGGAGTGCGATAAAACAATAAAATAACAATAAAAATATACCAGTCTTCAGATATCACATCTTTTGCGTTACATTTCCCCTTCTCACTGTAATATTTTCTTTAACAAACTAAAATTAAGGACTGTTTCAAAAGAAGGTTGACTTCAGTGATATTATAACTGGCAAGAGGGCATTTAGAAGAAATTGTGAACATAAGAAACCCTACTCTGAATCAAATCAAAGGTCTGTCTTAGTGAGTATTGGAGTAGCTGACTAAATGCCCCCAGCAGGACACCCACAAGTGTGATAGTAGCACAGGGAAATTCAAGAGAGGTCAATGTGAGAAACAACTGATTGACTAACCTGGTTAGTATATCAATGGGTTCATGAAATAGTGCCTATACTAGTTTTTTTTAGAAGCAACAGAGTGACTGATTCTGGGTGCTGGGGTGGGGGGTGAGTTAGAGACAAGATATACCAATGGAAGATTCCACATCATTATGTCTGAGAAAATGCTGGACAAGCTTACCTTTTCTGCCCAGGCCCAAAGACCAATGGCCAGGAACGCAGCTCCCAGCAACTGCAAAAGACAAACAGTACTTGTCACACAGAGTGCAACAAGAAAGAGCCTTCTTCCCCATCTACATCCCTGTAGCATTACACCCTAACTCACATCATAGGCACTGTCTGCTGAATTAAATCTATCAAGGTCCACACCACATTCTGCCCCCAACAGCCACCTTCCATATATTGAATGCACTGTTGAGAAACAACAATTCATTCTACCGATTTCCCCAGTCAAAGTACTTACAACTTTGCTTGAAGCTTTTAGATTCATAGAAGATATACCCAGAAGCTATAATGAAGTTTGCCTGGATTAAGAGATTAGTGAGGATTACAAGCCTGGGCTAGGAAAGAAGCTACTGTCGCACCAACAGCTTTTCCAGTCTCCCGACACCTGGGCATGACAGCCACCTAAAACTAATTAGCAACACAGGACAACTCCCAGGCATCCAAACGGTGAGTTGGGTTTCACCAGGAGCCTTAATACATATGAATGTTGATTTCACTGCAGCAGAAGGATCAATAGAGTGGTTGACCACACGGCCAGTTTGGATCTCAGAGCTTGGTAATTGTTGAATGCAGGACCAAAACTACTCCGGTTTCTGTCATCAGTCTTCATTTTGCCTTTCATGTTCTACCTTTCCTCTTCTTCCTTCCTCTCCATCAGCATTTATTATTGCCTATTTATACTGAGTCCAATGGGGCTTATTCTCTACTATGTATTTAGCCTAATTTACAGTTTGGGGTACGTGCTTATTTTTCACTCCACTTTATAATCACAAAGCAAGGGAACAGAGGAACAAGGAGAGTCAATTGTATAAGAGGCAAAGAAATAGAGACAAAGTCTGAAACCCTCTAGGTTGCAATTTTTTTATATATAAAATGAATGTTTGACTCTTTTTCAACATGTTTCAGACAAAAATAGGGACACAACATCCCCCTTCCAGCCCCAATTTTCCCTGAAGTACTAACTTTCAAGTATATCCATTTGTAGAGCCCACAATTTACACATTTTAAAATTGAAATCAGAACAGGGTCACTGCCAATGGCAATGAGTTGTTTGGTAGCTGTTACATTTCAGAGTTAAATATACACCAAGTACACTCTCCAACCACACACACATCACAAAACAGTTGCTGTGGTTTGTTCAGTTATTTTCATTTAAGTGGTAAGCAGTCCCATTGGCTCTGGAGGCCATATTTCTTGCAAGCTTCAGTCAAAGTCAGAGAACTTTAGCACTGATTCCTGAGCTTGATCTCTCTGTATCAACAGATAAGAAACACATGCATCACAAAGGCTACTAACTTCCTGCATCAATAGAACGTCATCATCTAAGCAAGACTTTAGAGGAAAGAATATACTTCTCTCTCTTAAATCAAATTTGCAATGCCATAGTACAGAACAGCTCTTACAACTTTCCAATCCCATTTTTAGTGGCAAAACACCCCACCGAAATGAATCCTGATTTATAAGCCCTGGGGAATCGAAGGCTAGAGACACAGCATTTGGTGTAATTCAAAGGCTGGCACAGTGCAAACAATGCCCACTCTGTTCCCATAGTGGGAGCTAGATATTCGTGGAACAACAACAGCATTCATAAGTGTTCTTTCCCTACCCACGCATTAGGCTTTGTCTATGGCAGTGGCTTCTTACTGAAAAGTCTTCAGACTATGGAAATTTGTGTATAAGTTTCTCAACTAGTGGGACACAAGGGAACTGGGAGCGATTGGGATGGCCCAGCATGGTGACTCAGTTTTAAAGGACTCCCCAAGCCATCTGGCCCAACCTGCTGGTTGCCCAGGAAGCATCTCTGAGAAATGGTCATCCAGCCTCTATATTCAAATGTACAACAGAAAAATCTGCCATTTCCAAGGTAGTCTATTCCATTGTCAAGTAACTCTTATGATCAGAACTCTTCCTAATGAGCTGCTACAAACTGAAGCTTAATCCAGACAAGACAGAGATGCTCCTAGTCAGTTATAAGACAGATAGAATAGGGAGTCAGCCTGTGTTAGATGGGGTCACACTCCCCCTGAAAATGCAAGATTGCTGTTTGGGGGTATTTCTAGATTCAGCTCTAAACTTGCAAGCCCAGGTATCACAAGTGATCAGGAGTTCTTCTGCACATTTAAAGCTAGTGCACCAACTGCACCCATTCCTGAAGAAGTCAGATCTGGCCACGGTGGTACATGACTTGGTTACATCCCGGTTGGACTACTGTAATGCACTCTGCATGGGACTACCTTTTAGAAGTGCTTGGAAACTTCAGTTGGTCCAAAGAGCAGCAGCCAGACTGTTGAGGCTGGCTACAGGGGATGGACAACTCCTCTGTTGCAACAGCTCTACTGCTGACAATGTTTTCCAAGAACAATTCAAAGTGCTGGTTTTGACCTATAAAGCTCTATATGGCTCCAGCCCAGGTTATCTGAAGGCCCATCTCTCTTTCTATGAACCTGGGAGACATCTATGATCTACTGGGGAGGGGTTTCTCTTGGTCCTACCTCCTGCTCAAGCACACTTGGTGGGAACACAGGAGGGGGTCTTTTTAGTGGCTGTCCCCCGACTGTGTAACTCCCTCCCAAGTGAGATCAGGATGGCCCATCTCTGCTGGCCTTCTGCAGGCAGGTCAAGACATTCTTCCGCCAACAGACATTGGAGGCAAGCTGCTGGGGAGTTTGGATGGGACTAGGGGGTGGATAGGAGTTTAAAAGGCCATTTTTGTGTATTTGCTGTATTTTAATTCCGTTTTTGCTACACTGTTACTATGTAGGTAATTGTTTAACTTTTGTTAAAGAATAAGCTGGAATGTGTCCAGAGGAGGGTGACTAAAATGATCAAGGAAAACAAGCCCTATGCAAGCTAAACAAGCTGGGCATGTTTAGCTTGCAGAAGGCTGAGAGGAGACATGATGAGGACCATGTATAAATATGTGAGGGGAAGTCATAGGGAGGAGGGAGCAAGCTTGTTTTCTGCTGCCCGGGAGACTAGGATGCAGAACAATGGCTTCAAACTGCAGGAAAGCCTATTCCACCTGAACATGAGGAAAAACTTCCTAACTGTGAGAGCTATTCAGCAGTGGAACTCTCTACCCGGAGTGTGGTTGAGGCTCCTTTTTCAAAAGCTTTTAAACAGAGGCTGGATGGCCATCTATCAGGGGTGCTTTGAATGCAATTTTTCTACTTTTTGGCAGGGGGTTGGACTGGATGTCCCACGAGGTCTCTTCCACTCTGTGTTTCTATGATTCTATTGTTAGCCACCTTGAGTCCCCACGTGGAGAAAAGTAGGGTATAAATAATAATAATAATCTCATATAGTTTGACTCTATTGGTTTGAGTCATACTCATCAGGGCATCAGGAAACAAGTTTGCTTGATCTTCCACTGACAATCTCTCAGTTATTTAGAAACAGTTATCAAATCAACTCTATCTCCTCTTATTCAGGCTGAACATGTTTGATCTACTTGAAGAAACACACAAAAAAATCTCTACTCTGCAGAGTCCTATTTAAAATTTGAGTGCCCTGTGGGGTGAGAAGGGCAGAATATAAATACTGTAAATAAAATTAATAAATAATAAATAAATAAATGTTAAACTATATTTCCTTAAAATATTATTGCTATGTTTGAATCAGGCCTTTATCTAAAACCAACTTCATACTCAGCCATTCTTTGACCCCCACCACAGTTAATGTGTATATTTCACACAAATAAGTCATGCAATAGAAGGAGGATTTAGATTCACAACTACTAAGAATCAGTTCACCATATTCTTCTTGATATAGTAAGGGCAATACTCCTACGTTTGATTTATGTGGCAAAATCATTACTCTGATTTGATAACACTCATGGTCACAACATCAAGAATCATGCAAATATGGTATTACATATGCACAAATGAAATGCCAACAAAAGACCTTCTAGTACTACAATCACAGGGAGGACAAGATATCTTTTAGGTGCCCTTCAAGGTTTTTTCCCAACAATTCCAGAGAGCCTCATTCCCTTACCTCTAACACATATTTAGACATGACACATGCTGTGGCTTAAAAGTCTCTGGACAAAGGATGCGGCAGTCAACCAAGCATGTGCATAAAACACATTTGCCACCTGCCAGACAGCAATACACTGGAGCATTGCTTTTTTGGGATGGAAACTGAAGGGCTGTACACTCATTTTTTGTAAGTTAATCTCACATCTTCCAGGAAGCAAGTCCTTTCAAACAAAGAGGTCTGATAAAATACAATCCCCATCATCTTATTTATTTACAAACCTTATGATAATTCCCATGTCAGATGTCATCTTTCTGTTACCGCCCAGGCTTGTTCAGCTGACAACTTTACAACCTGGGAATAAACTTACCAAGTATAGGGTATAACCTGGTATAACCTATGAAGCATACCACATCTATATATATAAAATGCTCTGTTTGTTTTTAGAGACATCATAACTCAACAACCGCTGGATGAATTGATGCCATATTTGCCCACAACACACCTACTAATAGAAGGAGTGACCATCACTCAGAAAAACACCAAAAAACACAGTGTCATGTACTTTTAAAAAAAACCCAAAACCTAGACTATACTACAGCGCATGTGCGCAAACGACTTGCCTGCCCCTGCCCTCCTCCTGCGCGAGGGAAAACAAACCAAACAGCTGTCCCACCTCCCTCAAGAAGAGACTGCAGAGGAGACCATCGGTAAGTAAAAGGAGGTTGAACTGGATAGCCTCCCAGTTCAAAGCAGATATTGTGGGATTTTCTACCATGATATTCTGGGTTATAGGGTTGTGTGGAACGGCTCTGAGAGTAGAAATTTGAATCTAATGTAAGAGACCAGCAACATTTTTTAGGGAATTGTATCATATTCATACCCATTCACTATAATTGTTTCTCTTTTTTCTGGAAACTTATCACTGGCCACAACTGATGACTTCTGGGCCGGCACCAGTTCAAGGGCAAACCATACTAAGTAAAATGGTCTTGGATTACTACACTATGCTACATCTCTGGCAAAGAT